GGAGCCAACCAAATCGAAAGAACCTGGAAGGAAATAGTGCCGGAAGTCTATCGCGACTACAAAGAAGTATTCGAAAAACAGACATTCGACCAATTACCGCCGAGAAGGGCATGGGACCACGCGATCGAATTAACACCAGGAGCAAAAATGGTGGATTGCAAAATATACCCGTTAAACCCAGAAGAACAAAAACAATTGGACGAATTCCTGAAAGAACAATTAGAAACGGGAAGAATCAAACCAAGTAAATCACCAATGGCATCGCCGTTCTTCTTCGTAAAAAAGAAAGACGGAAAACTACGACCAGTCCAAGATTATCGGAAATTAAATGAAATGACTATCAAAAACAGATATCCATTACCGTTAATCTCGGAATTAATCGACAAGTTATCCGAAGCGAAATACTTCTCGAAGATGGACGTAAGATGGGGATACAATAACATCAGGATCAAAGAAGGAGACGAATGGAAAGCCGCATTCCGAACGAATCGTGGATTGTTCGAACCGCTGGTAATGTTCTTTGGATTAACCAATTCACCGGCAACATTCCAGACGATGATGAATGATATCTTTAGAGAAGAAATCGCCGAAGGATGGGTCGTAATCTATATGGATGACATCCTAGTATTCTCAAAAGACAAGAAAGAACATCAAGGACAAGTCAAAAGAATCCTCGAAAAATTGCGACAACACCAACTTTCCTTAAAGGCGGAAAAATGTTACTTCGAACAAGAGGAGATCGAATTCCTAGGATTAATCATTTCAAATAAAGGAATACGAATGGACCCTAATAAGGTAAAAGCGATAGCCGAATGGCCAACGCCAACAACGAAAAGGGAACTTCAACAATTCCTCGGATTTGTCAACTTCTATCGAAGGTTCATTAAAGGCTTTGCGAAAATAGCGAAAGCATTAACGAAACTTACGGGAAAAATTGAATGGCTATGGACGGAATTGCAACAGGAAGCGTTCGAAGGACTAAAAAGGGAAATCGCCTCCGAAAGGGTCCTCATCATCCCTAAACCAGGAAGACCCTTCCGAATGGAAACAGACGCATCGGACTTTGCAATCGCGGCGATACTTTCTCAACTCGACGACGACGGAATTTGGAAACCCGTAGCATTCATATCAAAAGCATTAAACGACGCAGAAAGAAATTATGAAGTATATGACAAAGAAATGCTAGCGGTAATGCAAGGATTCTACGATTGGGCTCACTACCTAAAAGGAACAGAAACGGTAACGGAAGTATTGACAGATCATCAAAATCTTACATATTTCCGAAAACCACAAAACCTGAACAGGAGACAAGCCCGATGGATCATGGATCTACAAGAGTATAACTTCGTCATAAAACATCGATCCGGGAAAACGAATACTAAAGCCGATATATTATCTAGAAGAGCCGGACATCCAAAAGGAGAAAATGATAACGAAGGAATCATTCTCCTAAAAGAAGATATATTTGGAAAAGTCGAAATCAGAATAGATGACGAAAGTTACGAATGGCTAAGTATTCGACAAGAAATTCGTAACACGCATCGTCGATATTTCGATAAACAAGTAACCAAGGGAATAAAGGAAAAAGACCCAGATTTCAAATACGATACCCTCGATCAATGCTGGGAATGGAAAGGACGAATATACGTACCAGCAAAACCAGAAATCCGAGAAAGGGTAATCAGCTCAAACCATGACGTAAAAACGGCAGGACATCCAGGAGTCGCAAAAACCCTGGAATTAACAACGAGAGGATTCTGGTGGCCTAACATGAAACGGGACATTGAAACGTACATCAAAGCATGTCATCAATGCCAGATCAATAAACCCGATAGACAACCACGGGCGGCACCATTACAACCAAATGAAATCCCGTCGGAACCATGGGCAGTAATCAGCGTGGACCTCATCGGACCGTTAGTACCATCAAAAGGAAAAGATATGATCTTGGTAATTGTCGATCGATTCTCGAAAAAGGCTTACTTCATTCCATGCAATACAACGATAACATCGCAAGGAGTAGCAAACCTTTACCGAGAACATATATTCAAGGAACAAGGACTACCAAAAAAGGTCATATCGGATCGAGGAACGCAATTCGTATCCGGGTTTATGAAAGGATTATACCAAATACTAGGAATAGAAGCAAACCCTTCAACGGCGTACCATCCACAAACGGACGGACAAACGGAACGAGTAAATCAAGAACTGGAAGAATATCTACGGATGTATGTAAATGAAAAACAAGATGATTGGACGGATTGGCTCCCCATAGCTCAATTCTGCCATAATGATCGACGACATTCGGCGACAGGGTTCTCCCCTTTCATGATTACAACGGGAAGAAATCCATTCAAAGGAACGGAAGGTAAAACGGAAACGACAAACCACTCGGCTGCGGAATATATCGAAAGGTTTAAAGAGACATGGAAAACGGTGAAAGCGAACTTGGAACAAGCCGCGGAAAGGATGAAAAGACAACACGATAAACACGTCAAACCATCCCGACGATATCAACCAGGAGATCGAGTATACCTAGATGCGTCCAAAATTAAAACAACAAGGACATCGAAAAAGCTCGATGCAAAGTTCCACGGACCCTTCAAAGTAATTTCCGAGGTAGGGAAATCAGCATATAAACTGGAATTACCACCGACATGGGGGATACACGACGTCTTCCATGAGTCGAAACTTAAACCAGTTTATGAACCGCAATTCCCGGCGCAGCAGGAAAACGAACCACGGCCGCCACCGGAAATTATTAATGGATGTGAAGAATACGAAGTAGAAGCGGTGAAAGGGGTAAGAAAAACGAGGCAAGGGAAACGTTTCCTGGTGAAATGGAAAGGGTTACCCGAAGAAGAAAATACCTGGGAACCCGAGGAACACATGGAAAACGCGAAGAAAGCAATAAAGGAATACTATAAGAAAAACCCTTCAGCGTTACGACAAAACAAACCCCTTCCTCTCCTCCCCCCATCATCTCTGTCTCCAACCCCCTCTGGACCGCCGACGCCGACACCTCCACACCTTCTCCCCCTCTATGTTCCACATCCGCGCCTTTATGGGTGGGATGACAAGGCCTTCGACGAAGAGTATCGACGAAAACTCGAAGGGAACTGGCAACGCTGGAAGAGCGCACGCGAAGAAGCGAATTCGTCGCAAGGACCCACACCAGTTTAAAGTGATTGATGCCTGTAGCAACAAGATCCGATACGAAAAGGGAGAGAAAAAGAAAGAAACAACGAGGAATCGGGAGAGGACGCACCTAGGCAAGATCATGGGTGACGCCTCAAACGAGGAATTGCGAGATGTCAATAGGGTATTCGGTGAACCCTGGAGACGGACCCCTATGTGGAAAGTCAAAAGGCCTAACCTTAGCACTCGATAGTAACCTCCCGTCGGCATCGGACGCAGGTCTGGTAACGGGTAAAGACGAAAGAGCATCAGGAAGAACGTGAGTGCCAATTGTCATACCATCGAATTTTTGGATCCCCTTCCAGTTCGTCTGGAATCCGAACCTTGAAACGGAGGCTATGTCAAGCCCCTGTTTTACTCCTTGACACGCCGCATGCTTCGTGCATGTCAGTACTGACTCATGTACCCTACGCCCTATGACATAGTATGACTCATACCCTGTACCCAATGACTCATACCCTATGCCCCAAGTAGTATATAAGTAGCGTATATTGTAGTACATACTCTAAGCAACAAGCTAGTCTTTCCTTGGACAGCTCGGAGCTCCTCCCTTCTAAACTTGCCCTGAACCTCGACGGTTCTTGTATACGCCCTCGCTGCTTGACACGGTCAGCAGTAGCTATAGAGTGATTGAGTCTTGTGTTGTGTAGCCTGTCTAAGGCTCGTGACAAAAACTATCGCATCAGAGAGGGATAGGTACTGTAACGAGAACCAAAGACCAAAGATGCCAAAGAATCTACAATGAGGGAAGGTAGGCAGGGTGATTGAAGACAACTTGGATACCTACCCCGTAAATCCACGAAGGCAGAGCAAAATACGAATGCCCGGTGGCCCAAGCACGGGATCGTTTATTTTTGCAAAGTGCCTTCCGAGATGTGTTAATTACCACGTCGTTCGGAGCACTCGGACGCACGTACATGTATGCGACTGCACAAAGGCAAGTTATTATCTTGAAATTGGAAGGAAAAAAATCAGCTCCTTCGTTACTCGGTGGCTAGGCTCACCATTCGAATCCACATAATCTACTGAGAGCATCAGCATAAAGGTTAACCGCGTCATTTGATCGACAATTACCTCTAGAACAGAAACATCCTCTCCAAGAATCTTAACTGAGAGGTTCATCAACGCGAAAAATCCCTCTGCGGCAATAACGAATAAAAGGCCTTCGTTGTTCGCAACGTACGCCTTCAACGTCCCAAGAGTAGATGCGAGCATGAAGGTATATCGAAAAACGCAATTGTTCGGGCCCAGCCTCGCTTTCAAGGAATTAATCTCCGTTATACAGAATTGAGCTTGGAAAGCGTCCATATGGACGTGTACTGGGAAACAGGACAGGCACAATTCATTGATTCAATGATCTCCTATGTCGTTGTAGAAAAGACTGTCACTGGCAAAGGAAAGGCCCCTATATCAGCTTATCGGGGGTGGCGGCTGACATGAAAAAATGCCAAAGATGAGATTTGTAATGTTGGAAATCCGCACGTCGTTTCTTCCCTGCTTCTCTGCCCCTGAGATGTGGAGATAGAACACCTAGAACGCCGTCAGGGTGAGGCAGAAATTAAACGATATTACCCACGTCAAGGCGTAAGCTTCAATTTTTCGGTTTCGTCTCGTGCCATGATTCTGAGTGCGAGCGGTCAGGTTCGGGCTACAAACAGACTTCTGGGAATGAAGGGGCTGGAAGGGTCATGACGCATACGCGGGGAATCTAAGGCAAAGTGGCGCTGAGGACTACTCGAACTAAGCCTCCAATGTGCTCTTTTACCCGTGTCGTGTAGCACATACTAATCGAACATATCATATCCGGTATGGTGTAACGGCTAACATTGCCGCCTTTCAAGTTGAAAGACGAGAACGCGGCAGCTCGGGGTTCGATTCCCCGTACCGGAAAGTTTTTTCTCCTCTCATGGGGCAGCGGATAGATCCGAGCGGAGTGTGAAGCGGGGGCAATTTTTTTGGCGCGACTTTGGACATCACGTATACTCTCGTATACTGGGATATCAAATTATTCAAGTGTGACCGCAACATCGCGCGCAGTGTTGCCTGCACCGTTCTAGGAGGAGCCCAGCTTTCGTCAGAAATTTCGCCCCCGCTTCAGGCTCCGCCCGGGAACATCTCGTCATGTCTTCCTGCCGTGACCCCGTTTTGAGACTGACGACGATGACGATGACGAGTCTGAAGATCCCTACGAGGAGATCTTTGCTTGTGCCGACCTCCTGATTTCGACGCTTGAGAAAGTTGATGCTTCGTGACTTGGCTACCCTCGCAACAATGTGTGTATCTGCGTCGCTTTTTTCATCACCTGGATGCCTTGAATGGCGTCAGGCTGGCCAGACGTGAGGAGACCCCGCCTCCTCTTGCCCCATCTCAAACCCCTCTGCCCAGATTCTCGCTCCGAAGACTCCCGTTCAACCGGTGACCTCTGGTCCAGCCCAGACCCGTTCTCTCCAGCAACCCCCGTGTTTCCTTGCGGGAAAACTACCCCTCTTTAAGTCCTATGGAGCTGAAACTGCAGCCACTGCAGCTGTCCCGTGCTCTCGCCCATCTCGGACTGCCGCACTTACGAAGTCCTGCACTAGACAGGGTACAATCGGCTCAAAACTCCGCCTCCGCTCTCCTTCGGTAGGGACCCTCCCTCTCTCACCATTTTACGGTCTGCCCTCACTACCACTGAGATCCCTTCGAATCCAGTGATATCTGTTGAATGGGCCCTTCGTAATGACCCAGTGACATCTTTGCAGATGTCGAGCGCCAAGTAGTGCTCAAACGGATTCCCACTGTCCGCCCGGTCGCAGCGACTCGGAAGACGGCGCTTCACGAAACCAAGCTTTGAATAAGACAACAAATGTACGTGACTTGATACTGATGGTTCCATTGAAGAGAGAATTACTGCAGCCCGATTTTGGACCTCTGCGTCATTTTTTTCCACAGTGCCACTGCTTTGCATGGGGCCACAACTATAATGCATAATGTATAATGCCTCATATAGCATCACAGGCACTAAGATACATCTCTACAATAAGTTTGAAAACTACCCGATACATACGATAAGTCACCCGGGCATACCACACTGTATACAACACGGAATAGATTAGATAGATGAAGGAAGTAATTGACATGGCAAGCCAAAATGCGTTTCGCGGTGAGTTCGTGAATAAGAGTGTGGTTGCAGAGGCCCCAGAGGTGATTGGGGAATATTGGAGCCCGTACAAGGGTATTAGGGTAATAAATACGGCCGAAGCCGCGGAAAAATATCCGATGAGCATGATGAATGAGAGGCAGGATTCAGCCAACTTCAATTGTCTCCGACTTGGCGGCAGTTGGGTACCAGCGCCGGTGAAATGAGATATGAGTGTCTCCGCCACGCTAAGCAAAGCCCGAATGCCCATGGGAAGGACGAGCCCTGTGAGGTAAAGAACGAACGCCCAACACATGAAGCCAATAGAACCACGGGTCGCGCTAGACGTAAAAAGAAATTGAGGCCCGAAAGCAGGAATCGGATAAAGACGAAAAACCTGAAAATGGTTGTGTACGTAAACGCCGCACCAACACCACAGAGTGTTGCCACCCACGTGCACACGTCCTCCGATATCCAAACTTTCATTGCCTGCAAAATGTTGCTATCAGTTGTTTGATCGATGCAGACGAGAAGACATGCCTTAGACCATGCCACAGCGTCACCGTCGTAATGACCCCGCTTCACCAACTCGAGATTCACATTGTCCAACTGATTGAAATTTACTTAGAAGGCTTAGATGCGATGAAGAATCAGAATCGTACATCTTTTTCCATGTCGCAAATCGCACGATTAATTTTAGTGTAAATGGCAGCGTTATCCGGAAACGAGGATTCCTTTGAATCCAGGGTCCCAGTGCTACAAACATTGTGGAGTCGTGATTGCATCTTCTGTAATACCAACTTTCGTTCAACTTTTGCATTGACCAGCTGTTTGGAAATGAGGTGTGCAGAAAGTTGCCGATGAAAACAGCATTACTCACAGCAGTCGTCAGAAGGCTCTTTTCCGACATGAGATCCGCGTCCTAGATGATCGATGATCGATGATCGCGAAAGTCAATTTTACATCCTACTGGAACCATTATATAGAAGATTAAACTCGCTTGTATTTCGTTCATCACTAGTACCGTACGACCGCTGCTGTGGCCTTGCTCTGGATTCTGGAAGGTAAAGCGGTTGGATGTTTCTGACACGATGGGATGAGAAATAAGACGGATGAGGCCTGTGAGGCGTTGATACTTGAACGAGTACTAATTTGATGCCATCCTCACGTTGCGCCAACTATTAGTCTGTTTAGATTACTCAGTACTCACGCCTGGTGCCATCTTCATGTTGCGCTAACTATTAGCAACTTGCTGTAATCCGTGACGCGGTGGTTTTTCAACATATGGGATATGGGTTGGTGTATTCCTGATATAAAATATGGAAGTCACTGGGATCGACCTTTCCAGGTGCGGCGAAAATATCTGGCGGAGTTTGAAAACTCGCCCAATCCGAGAGATCAGCACAACTTTGAAGCCCTTTCGGAACCAAAATGAGTCACCCAAGCAATTCATATTTCAGATACCTTGCAAGCTAGGTAGCTTGTCTAGTGGGTTGGGCCAGGTTGGGCCGCAACAATTACAAAAAAAAAAGTTTTCGGATACGGGGAATCGAACCCCGAGCTACCGCGATCATCTCACTCAATGAGAGGCGGTAATGTTAGCCGTTACACCATATCCGATTGAAATATATTTACATCTATAATCAACATGACCATAAAATAAGGTAACCTTCGGCGAAATCGATCGATGATTCGATTTCAACCATCACAATCAGATATCTAAACAACTCTAATTCCATGTTATCTTATTGCTACACAACTTCCTCTATTCAAACAACAGACTCTATTTCATACATTAATTCACACGCGGATGAACAGTTCAAGCACATTCTTGGCCTCGCTAGGATCCAACTTCCATTTAGCGTCTGTTCTTCTGCCACTAGTGGAGCACGTTTCAGACCTATCAAACTCGTTCAGGCGTCTGAGTAACTTCTCGTCCGAGCTGATGGCGACGAGTAGATCCAGGTCTTCGCCTACATTGGTGACCTCGTCGAAATCAGACGAAAGCCAAGGGCCTCGAGTTCCCGACAACGGAGAGCGCGCAGGCCCACCGGGATGAAGGATGGCACCCACGGCTGTGGATCTCGAGATGTTGTTAGGAAGGACGAGGAAGCTGTTCTTCCCGGGAATGATACGGAGCCCAAAGCGCTCGCCAAGACTAGAAAACTATGTAAGTGGGCACTGGTTAAGTCGTGAATCCCGTTACCTGTCAAAAATGTGGTTTTGAGCTTCGGCGGCTTGTCGCCTTGCCCAAGGTCTGACCGAACCGTCCTTCGTCTCTCCAGTCCAGTAGCGCCATACGACCGAAGCCTCACGTTCCTCGACGAACGATCCAGGGGTTCGCTCGGTGAACTGAATAAAACTTGTCAACCGATCAATATCATATATCAAGAAAAAGGGCACAGACATAGTGCAACATTTCCAAGCAAGCATTTTTCCAGGACATGTCAAGGTTAGACACCATGTTCAACCATTCACCAGTGTTCTTGCGTGCGTTCGGACGAGGACGAATGAAGCATCCATTTTCAGCGCTGCCAGCCGCAAGTTCAGCGACCACTTCCGAACCAAACAAAAAACGGGCGTGTTACTCACACAATACCAAGCTTAGGTATTTTCTCTGCCACACGGTCCAGGACGCCCTTGACTTGAAGCCCACTCAAAAGCCATACTTCGTTATTCTTATTCTCCGCGAGAGATTTCAGGACGTTGAGCGGCTCTTCCGGTATTTCAACTTCGCCCGCCATCACGGTCGCCAAACCTTCCTTCGTGAGATCTCTCTTCCATAATGTTGCCTCAAAGTCAACTACATAACTGTCAGTCAATAAACTAAGAGGTCAGCCATCTTACGAACCAAGAATTATTCTTCGACTCGAGTGTTTCCATCTAGGAATTACGAGCGGCGCATCAAAGGTGGGCACTTCTGAAAGGTCGTGCAGCATGTGTTCCGTATGAGCCCGGACGCAGCGCGTCAAGAAAGATGTAACAAACGCCTGTGCCGTTTGGGCAACGACATGGCTATGAAGTTCCTAAAACCAGGTTGTTCTGAGCAAACTTGTAAGTTACTTGGGGGAAAATAATCACCTCCCAGCGGGTCTTCATTTGCTCGCGATCCATGGTGAAGGCCTTGAAGATGCATCAGCGGAAGCGAGCGAAGAAAGTTCTGGAATACCTGATGTATAGCATTTGCGGTGTCTCTTTTGTCCCATGGATTAACCGCGATGCAAGATCTGAATCCGCTGTAACTATAACTGCCGGTGAACTAAAGGCTACACTGAGCGTCTGCGTACGAAGAGCACTGTATGAAGGCCTACCTCGGACAAGATCAACGGATGGTAGTTGCCTTCCTGACAAATGACGTATTCATGCGTACGCAACGCCATTCCTTCTCGCAGACTTGTCACCATGAAAGCATCCGCAACAATCAAAAGCGCAAGATATTGGCTGAAAGTTAAATCCTGTACACGACTGAGTTCGAAAATCCATGTGAACGGGTCATGAATATTACCTGAGTGTGCAAGAAAATCACAGGTTGATATGTCAGCGTCGAGTATCTCGAATTAATCCTTGACACGACATCCGCCACTCCGCCATGAAATTCGTTAATTTCAGTCGTTTGAAGTGCAACCTGTATAAGTACAACCTGTCAAGAAAGTGAGTCAAAGTATCGATTAACGAAGGAAGAAGAAGCACACCTTCTCCTGAAATTCTGGATTTTGGTCCAGGAACCGTTCAAACGCCAGAATCTTGTGCCGTACACCCTACCCGCTGGTTCAGCAGATCTATATAACTCATAACCTGAATATAGTACCTGAACTTCGTCCAACTTGTCTCTTCCAACGATAATCTTCTTGCCTGCATACCGTTGCTTCAAAACCTGAACCCATTCACGTACTTCGGGGTTCTTCCTATGAAACGAACAAGTTAGCATCTCTCTAATGAAAACCGGGCAGCAGAATCTTACTTCTTTTCCTTCAAGGCCGTTACATCGATTCCCATAGGGAAAACGCCGACGTCAACAAACCGACCCATGCTAGCTGTTCCCATTCCAGCTTCATCTCTAGTCTTTCCATTCCTAAAGTTGTTCGCTTCGGTTTGATCAGTTTCGGTATCAGTAATGATTTGAATTCCTTTGGGCAACGCTTCATAAGCAAGAATACGGCTAACGGTCTGACGGAAGTGCCGTGCATAGTTGGCGGTTTGGAAGCCAACGAGATCTGCTCCCAGTATTCCGTTTAATAGCGCCTCACGGACACTAAGACACCGGAAAATCTCGGAAGAGGGGAATGCGACGTGCATGAAGAACCCGATAGCATGTGAGGAGGAATATTTGGGGTGATTGCGGATGAGCGCAGGAAGAAGCATAAGGTGGTAATCGTTGACCCAAACTACATCCACGTTCAGCCGAAAAACTAGCTGTCAAGAATGAAGGCAACATACTGATGTCTCCGTCTCGGACGTGCTCCATGATGACATCTGCAAATCGACGGTTAACAGCGACATATTGCTTCCAGGTCGCAGACTCGTAAAACAGTTTTGTCTTTGGAGCATCGGGAACTGCATAGTGCAAGCACGGCCACAACACCTACCAAAACATGAGTCGAAATATGGCGGAACAAATAGAGTGACAAACCTGATGACAAAACTCGTCGTAAAAGCTGTTAAATTCGTCGTCTGGGATCCAAACAGGGACACTGGAGCGTTCTTCACTCATTCTGGTATCGATATCGTTCCGCATAGCTTCGCTAAAGCCGTCGGTATGGGTACCGAGAGTGCCAACCCACAGCAGATTCTTCAACTTGTCAACACTTTGAATAGCGTTCTTGAGCCCCCCATTGCAGTGGGAGTTGTCTACAAAGTGCCAGGCGTTCTCATTCCCGCCGTTGATGCTGTTGGCGTAAGAAGGAAACGTTCGAAACAGAAGCGCGCAAAGAGGTGGCCGTATCCGTGTCCGTGACGCGTCGAGAAGACGAGCGAGACTTTTTGCGCTTAACACGAGGGTCCGGAACCGAGGTCAGAATGGGTGGTTATATGCCTGCGTGAAGCAGACCGAGAGCCGGCTCCAGGAGAATCGGAAGGAGGCACAAAGTCAACGGGTGAAGAAACTGAGTCGCCATCAACATCATGGATCTCTTCAATTGTCTTGCCTGCCGCGTTGACGACGACGTCCTGTGCTGAACCTAAGAACTTTGGCAAAGGGATTGGCTATTTCCGCTGTGGGTGAGCGAGAACTGGGGGTGGAAAACCTTGTCTAGAACAACAAAGTGTTATCTGTGTTGCGTATATATGCTTGAATAGTGTGCGTACCTTGTCTTTGAGATCATCGACGATACTCTTCAAAGGGCTTAGGCTGCTACCGAGTGCCGCGCCGCCAGAGTTGCTGGGCTTCCGAGAATGGGTAGGCAAAAGAGGATCGCTTGGGAGCAGGCGAAGTTGGCGGAACACCGAGCTTTGATACCTCTGTTCCGGGTAGGCCCGCGGCGACAGCAGAAGCGGCAATGGAGATTGAGATAGGATAGGAATATGAGAGATCTGGGGTGGAAGGCTGAGACTTCGCCTTGAACGGCGGTGGTTGGGAGGAAGAGTGAGGCGACTAGGACGCGATGGGTCTTGAAGGAAGACATGAGGGATAAAGACTAGGAAGCCATAGTGAGCCTTTTTACTAGATGTCAATTGTTTCAGTGGTCGTCCTTATTTGGGTGTTGTTCCCAGTTTCCGCTCGTCCTCGATATATTTGGCTTGGCAATCGGATCCTGTGGCAATGAACGTGCGACTGAACCTCCTAAGTCGCTCATGCGGTTGTCCTTATCCTTCTGGCGCAGTCTAACTGCGTCCTCGCTATTGTGTGCACTTATACTTTGCTCCACCACCGCCTACCACCAAATGGATCTAGACTTCTCGGTCTCCCGAAGAGTCGTTCGGGGAGCTTGATATATCCGTCTCATTCCGACGCCATCAACCCATCAGCGCCCACGGTAATGTCCGCGGCTAAAAGTGACGCTATTTCTGTTCGTAAGATAGGCCCTCGGAAGACTACACTAAAACGCGTTAGGCATAGATAACATGTCGATAAGTGCGTATCGAGCGCATCATAGTCTATGGACTGCTCACATACACTGCAACAGTTAACAGTCTGATGAGTGACAAAAAAATATTCGGATACGGGGAATCGAACCCCGAGCTGCCGCGTTCCATCTCGCAATATGAGAGGCGGCAATGTTAGCCGTTACACCATATCCGACTTGTTGATTGAGCTTACGCCAATTTATTACTACCATTACGTTGAGATTAGCATATGCTGGTGATATGCAGCCCAAAAAAGCTTGCTGCGCTCATGTACATAATACGATCGAAGCAGTTTCCTTTCGTAACCTTACATGTTAGCTTAGTCACAACTAAAGCGATCGCCTCGTCGTCCATCATTTGCTTTTATTTTTGACGCAGTCCTTATCACCATCTCCCCGACAAAAGCGCGAACTGACAGCTCAAAGAAGGGAAAATGCCGTCGAAATTGAGTAGAATGGAAGCGAGTGGCGGGCAAAACGTGCTTCACAACGAACTATCGGAATTGTGGCATGAGAAGAAGGCGGGTGGCCATTACTAAGTCCCGAGGCGAACCATCC